TGCCAAAACACTGGGGAAGTCTTCATCGCCTTTTTCCAAAGGTGAATGACCACCACCCCTGACCCGCAGTGTCACGCCTCGGTGTGTCCCCCAGGGAAGTGGCTGAGTCCCTCCACCACCCGAGGTGCATGGCAGTATACCTAGCAGCTCTCTTCTTAGGATCAACCGACTAGAAAGAGCCCCGTGTCCAGCGTGGGCAGAAGGAATAAATATATTATTATCCTATGTTCAGATGGAAAACAGCAGGGAAAGAAAAAACAAAGGCTGCTCACCACCACAGCAAGGACGGATCTCAGAGACAGGGCAGAGAGAAAGAAGGCAGATACCAGAGTTCGCAGGACAGGCTCCGTCCTCTGAGGCTCTGTGGCATGGAACGTGCCCGTGGAGAGGCCGCCGCGGTGAGGTTGGCAGGAGCCGGGTCGGACGGGTTCGCGGCTCTGGAAAAGTTCCCTGTCTTGATCCGGGGACTTATTACACAGAGTAAGAGAATTAAAGTGCATCAAGCTGCGAGCGCACAATTTGTGCACACTGCTACATTGATTTCATCCCTGCTTTACTTCTGTCTTTGAGGCACTGCACTGGGGCTTGCAGTCTGCACATCTAAGTCAGCAGCAGCGGCCTTCAGCTATCACTGTTCCGCTCCACATGCTGGTGAGAACTTCTCAGCAGCACGTCCCGCTCCAGTCCCGACCCTGGGGCCCCTGCTACGCAATTTTACTTCCACAAACACTATAAATTCCCGTCATACAGTGCTACATTTTGCTTTAAACAGCTAAATATCTTTCATGGAGTTTTCAAACAAACTGATTTACATTTACCCTCATGTCTGCTGTATCTAGGGGTGCGTGTACACGCGTGTGTGCGTGTTTGTGTGTGTTGATAGAGGGTATCACTGACCTTCTGCCAGAAGAACTTCCTACAGCGTTTCTGGGATTTGCAGTCAGGTCTGACGTTCATTGAGAACGTCTCTCCTGTTGTTAGCAGGGAGCCGTTCTGGGCCTAATGCCCCAGGTGTGCGTTCTTTCGTTTCTCCTCTTGGTATTTGAAAGAAGTTGCTCCCTGTCTTCTCATTCGCTGTTTTCTACCAAGATGTTGGCTGAAATTCTCATCTTTGTTCTCTTTATGCAAAGCACGTTGATCCCCATCACTGTGTTAGAGGGCTTTTCTCTTCGTCACTGCTTTCTTAGGAAGCTGACTATGTGCCTTGTGAGATTTTCTTTGTTTCTTCTACATATGGTTCACTGACTCTCTCGGATCTGTGGGATTTGCGTTTTCATCAACTACGGAAAAATTACAATCATTTCTCTTCAAGTATCTGCTTCCTCCCCACTTCTCCTGGGACCTCCGCATTCCTGTGTTAGACTTTGATATTGCTCCGTACTCATAGAGGCTCTATTGTTTTTCTAAATGTGTTTTTGCTTCTTGCTTCATTTGGGGTAGTTTTTATTGCTTTGTCCTTGCGCGTACCGGCATTTTCTTCTGTTGAATTTACTGTGAATCCCGCCAGTGCATTTCCTTTCTCAGATATTCTGTTTCCTTAATTTCTGTAAGTTCCATTTTCCACTTTTGCAGTGTTTTTCTCTTTTCGCCTCATCGCACAAATGTCTCCCTCTGTACTCTAGAAAGCATGAAGGATATTTCTCAGAGTTATCCCAACTTCCTCTCCCTTCCGGACTTGTTCCTGCTGGTTGGCTTCTGCTTACTAGGGTGGTATTTTCCTGCCTCTCTGCCTGCCTTGCTGTCTGTGGCTGGATGTCCTAACTTTTAAATCGGGAATGCTGTGCGCTGGGTTTTGCTCTATTCCTGAGTAAGTTTGAGCCATTCACAGCTTGCCTCTAAGCTTCTCAGGGCAGAGCTAGATAGAATAGTCAGTCACTCCAGCTTGCCTAGGACCACAGAAATTCCCAGGATGTGGAACTTGTAGTTTAAAACTGGGGCCGAGGGGCGCCTGGAATTGGGACCTTCAGTTCTCAGGCTGAGCAACCCCAGGGCAGACCAGGCGCACTGATGGCCCTGCGGTCCCCAGGCAGGATTTAGCCTGGGGGTCTTAGTCTCATTACTGTGTTTTGAGTGCTGTGCTCCTGTGAGGAGTCTTCACCCGCTGACCCCGTGAACTGGACCCCCCAGCCCCGAGCGGGCTAGCAGATTGCAGAGCTGGAGTTTCCCCAGCTTCTCCCCAGGGCTGGAGTCACTTCCTTCCCTCCGTGCTTAGATCAGTAACCAGCCAAGGACTTGCAGAGCTGCCCCACGCGGGGTCTTTCTGTGCTGCTCTGTGCCCTGGACCTAAGCTCCGCGTCCTTGGCTCATGAGACTTCGGGGCTGTGTTTCCGTGCCGCTGTCCTCCAGGGCAGTCACAGGTCATTTTGACTGCTTCGCCCTCCCAGAACACTGTCGTGCAGGGGCTAGCAGCTGATACTCAGCGGTTTCCTCCTCATTAGCAACGGGAAGAGAAATATCCTTGCTTCCTCAGCGTAGCTGTAAGCGCAGCCCTTCCTCCACATTATATATATGCTGTAAATACCCAGAGGGGTGCTGTGCTCCTGGTTGCACCATTTTTGATGCCTTCATTTTGCTGCTGCTAAGACATTGTGACAAGTAGTGACAGAGACACTCGTGTCTCAGCCTTGGGCAAGTTCTTTCTCTCTCTCTCTCTCTCTCACACACACACACACACACACACAGCCTTGAACCCTCACAAAGACCTATAAGGATTAAGTACAGTAAGTTCATTGTCTATTTTAGCAGTGTAACCCCTGATACACAGAGCAGGCAGTGGAACGGTGCCCGGCGCACATTTGGGCCCGGCCGCTCCAGCCTGCATGTGTCCATTCTGCTGCCTGACGAGCCCCGCTGAGGAGGAATTCCGTCCCAAACAGCTGAAGCCCGAACGATCGTGCGATCACAAGGTTAAATCATGCAGGAGACCGCAGGGGCGCTGATGATCCTGGAGGTCGATCCAGGGCCCCCCTTTCTTCCTGCTCACACACTTACTGCCCTGCAGCCCGACATGCAGCTCCTGCTGGCTCGTAAGCCGTGGCCAGGAAGTAAGCCTGGACCCCGAGTGGCCAAGATGAGCCTTTGCTTGGTGCCGGGCTCAGTGTGTTTTCATCCGGGGATCTTTTCCTGTCAGGCAGGGGAATGGCCCCTGGCTCTACCTCCGAGACTCCAGCCGAGCTCGCTCCCTGTCTGCAGCCCCGTGGTGGCCGGCTCTCCTGCTTTGCAGCTGTCTTTTAACCCCTTCTCTGTGCCACACACAAGCGGCACCACAAGTCTCTGTGGTCTGGCCAGTCGGGTGTTTTGAACTTGATGGGGCTGAACTCGGAGGCAGAGTCATTACCTCCACTTACCGACCTGGACTCGCTGGGAGCCGCCTTCCTCCACCCGCCAGCGGGTAATGCGGTTGTCAGTCAGAGCAAGGGTGAGAGGGCGATGGTGTCTGGGGAGGGCGCCGGGTCTTTGCTCATACTTGAGCTAAATGACTCCAGGGGGAGAGATTTGAAAGGCATGGAAGGAAGTTCTCATCCCGGTAAACTCATTTTTCTCCTTAACCGAGTTATTTTTTTTTTTTTTTTTTGGTTTTTCTCCGGTACCGGGAACCGAACTCACGACCTTGTGCTTGCCAGGCAGGCGCTTTTGCCGCTGAGCTAAATCCCCAGCCCCCGAGTTATTTTTAAGTCCCTAAAATTCCTAGTCATGCTCCGCCTAAGCTGAACTGGGAGGCAGTGAGGTGCAACAGCTAAGAGCCAGGCTCCGGGGTGGACCCTGCGCTGGGGTCGGGCTCTGCTGCCTCCCGCCCGGTACAAGCCAGGTGTCTGGTTCATACCTCGAGTCCCCAGCTGGACACTGGAAGATTAAAGGGCCTGGCACACATCGGACGCTTAGGCTGTGTTGCACACGGCGCTTCACACGTGTGGGCTGTCGTGTGTGTCACAGACAGGAAACGCCCTTGGCCTCTGCTGTGCTCGGGCACCGACGGGTGCCGTGCCGTGCAGTGACGGTGTCACAGGTCCCTGTCACCGCCCCAAACTCCTGTGCTGAAGTTGTAGCTCCCTGGCCCCTCAGAAGGCGGCCTCGCTTGGAGACGGCTCTTTAAAGAGAAGATCAGGTTGGCACAAGATCACTGACATGCAGGTGCGGGGATTGGTGTCCCCTAGAGGGGAACGTGGGGTCCAGGGATCGAGTAGAAAGACGGGGGAGAGGTGGGGGGAACCCCACGCAGGAGTGGGCACAGGCGGCAGAGACTCATGAACGCTGTTCACACAGATCAACAAGCAAGAGCCGACCCGAAAAACCCGGAGGCAGCGTGGCAGCTGGCTGGGGAGGAGCCCGTGCCCTGCCTTTCTCAGCAATCTCCCGCACATTGTCCATCCTTCTCCCCACTCCCCCCGCTTTCCCTTTCCACCTCACTCTGCTCTCCTGCGCTTCCCTGATGCAACTAGCAGAAAGTACAGTCCCACACGTACACTAAAGACAGCCACGCTGAAGGGCAGTGAGAGATTCTCAGGGATTCTCGGGAGGGGACGTCATTCCTGCATCCTGGGTCGCATCCTGACGCCATCAGCTGTGACCAGCTTGGGGAGGGAGGGATGCTGGGCAGCCGCCTGGAGGGGGTGCTGTGGCCCTGAGCCTCGAAGCCACCACACCGCCGCACGGCCCCAGGCAGCAGACATCTGTCAGAAACATGCTGTCGACGGCGCTGGGCATCACAGAGTTATGGAGCTGCGTGGCTCCTCCCCCTTCCAGGGGTCAGAAGTGACGGGGTGAGACGCCTAGTTCGCGGGTGAGAGACCTGAGCGATGTTGTCTTTCACCCACTGTGTGACCTCGAACACGTCACAGGCCCCTGTGCACCTCCTCGTCCTGTCTGTCAGGCGGGGCTCAAACGGCCTTGCTGAGGTGACGTAAGGCCTACTGCGCGGGGACATGTGGGTACTGAGCACGTATTGGCAGTCGTCACTGCCGAGTGTGACAGACCCTTTTTCTGTGCGCTTTCTCCCCCAGGCGGAGTTCTCCGAGTTGAACCTGGCTGCCTATGTCACCGGGGGCTGCATGGTGGACATGCAGGTGGTGAGGAACGGCACCAAGGTGGTGAGGTAAGTGGGACGGTGGCCCGGGGACCTTCTGAGAGCTTCAGGCCCCCAATTCCTGCAGGGCATCTGCCCCAGGAGGTCCAGGTGTCACCCGGATGCCCATGGCTGGGCAGCGACTGTGGTGTCTGGAGCGAAGGCCCGGAGTGAGGACCTGGGCTCCACTCTGGCTGTGTGGCTTTGTCCTCTGCATCCTCTGCAGCATGGCTACAGCAGCGCCTCACTGGGGCTTCGATGTTTGCGTCAGCTCCCATGGGGGAGGCCCGGGTCATCCCGAGGGGTGGTGAACTCGGGGGTCTGAGGGGAGGCACTGGACTCCACTTCCCACGGTGCACAGGCTGAGGTTCCGTCTCCCGACTACCAGACCTGAGAGTACCGGGCAGGACAGGGGCGAAGGGGATTCTTCACAGGCAGAAATGACAGCGCGCGCGGGGCCTTGGGGCGGGAGGCTGTGTGTGCAGCCTCGAGGCACCAGGAACAACACTCGTGCACTGGGCTTTACGAGGGTTTGCGGATTCGGGAGGGTGGGAGAGTGAACCCGGGGCCCGGTGGTGTTGGAGCAGGATGAGCCGTCCTCCTCAGGGACCTGGGAGGAGACGCAAGCTTAGGGCAGGAAACAAACACTCTGCTCTCGAGCACAGGCCAACCGTGCAGCCCACTTGGCAGACGGTGGCCATTCGGTTAATTCAGAAATCACTTTTTGAGCGCCCACTCAGGACCAAGAGAGACATGCCACGGCTTTCTGTATGCAGTAACAGTGGCCAGATTATTGGGATCCCTGTGTCCACTGAAGCCAACTTAAAAGTGGATTCCGTCGTTACAATGGGTAAACACCGTCAAAGGGCTGGCATGACAACAGGGGTTACCAGGAGGAGAATGTCAGGACAGTGGACCCCAGCGCGATAAATGAACACAAAAGCCACCTGTGTACTGGGAATTTTACTACATCAGACACATCTGAAATGCATTGTAATAGCCCAGGGAGGGTCAGGGCTGCTTCCAGTGCAGTGCTGATGCGGGCCCTCCCCAGGCTGTGAGGAGTGGGAAATGCAGGAGCTGGCGAGACACCCAGAAGCACCGCTGCTGTCCTCACAGCACAGTCAGAGGGGCGTCGAGAGGACCTAGCAGGGGCCCTGTGGCAGGAAATGATTCTTTCAGGAAGATACCAAATCACCAAACCAGAAGCACTGGCAATCCCAAGCAGGATAAACCAAAGCGCTCTAGGCCAGGACACAGTCCCGGAACTTCAGAAAGACAAACATCTCAACACAGGCAGAGAAGACTGCTGTCTTCATCATCCCAACAGAGCCGGGCAGTGACTCCGGCTGGCGTGCTGACAGGACTCATCGGAAGAGGACACAGTCGTTCACTCCTGACCTGATGGAGCCCCTCACTGAGGGAGCTGTGAGGCTCAGGTCTAAGCCCAGGGGAAACGGCTGGGTGAACACAGAGCCACGTGTTATGGTTCATGTCTGGATGTCCCCCAAAGCCTCATGCAGTCATGGGCGGGCTTCTGGAGTTTGTGACTGATCCATGGTCCAATGCTGGAATTATGGATGTGAGTGCTACACCCGCCCTGGGGCGGGCAGTTTGCATACAGTGTAAGGGAGGGAAAGAGGCTTGCTCTTTCAGCTGCCACTCCTCCCTTTTGCTCCTGTTGCTCTTGCGTTTTCCACCACCATGAACGGTTGCCCTCTGCCATGTGCCACGCTGCCTTGGAGCCAGCCGAGTATGGACGGAATCCTCCACAGACTGTGCAACAAATAAACCTTTCCTTCCTTAATTCTGGCTGTCAGGTATTTTGTCTTGGAGACGAGAGAAAAGTAATGAGACACCTGGCAAGGCGAGAAGGGCAGGTTGTTGGGCACCACCCCCAGAGACGACACAGAACCCCCTGAGGCCAGGAGTTGCACAGAGGGCGGAGGCAGGGGGGCGGGACGGTGGTGGAGGTGCTGTCCAGGAAGAAAGTGCTCACTGACCACGCATGGGCTCTGAGGAGTGGAGATGCAGGAGGTGATTTCTAGGGGGTGACTTAAAATGAAGAGGAGGTCGCACCCCCACACAACAGGTCAGAAACAGAGAAAGGAGAGGAGGGTCAGAAACAGAGAAAGGAGAGGAAAACCACACCGGGCAGAGTGGTAAGTAACCGCGTGAGGCTGTGGCCTGAAGCCCGGACACCCGTTAGGCTGGTGCCACCGGGTGCTCGTTGGGCAGTGCAGAGCAGTGCAGAGCAGATGGTCTTCGCCTGCCAGCAGGCCTGGCCAGGGCACCATGCGTGTGTCTGCATCCACCACCCGCCTGCTCCCAGGCCTCAGCCGGCCCCCACCCGGTGCTCAGCACCTGAGGACAGAGCAGGGAGGCAGTGGAACCTGGAAAATGCATTCCCACCCCGCGTGCCTCCTGTGCTGTGGTCGCTGCCAGCCTTGGGGGCGCCCCCTCATGGTTATTGTAAGAACTGCAGCCTCCAGAGGACCCTGGGGGTGGTTACATGAAGCTGTCCCAGTGACTAGTAATTACATTAATAGGCCAGACACTCTAATTAAAGAACAGGGCTGTCTAAAACTGTAAATCTAAAACATTCAACTGTGTCCCATTCAAGTAACATAAAACATGACAATATAAAAGTTTAAAAGCCTAGCTGGGTGTGCTGGCATAATCCTATATTCCCAGCTCAGGGGAAGCTGAGGCAGAAGGATCACAAGTTGGAACCAGCCTGGGCTACATGGTGAGTTCAAGGCCAGGCTGAACTGCACAGCGAGACCTTGTCTCAAAAACAAAAACAAAAAACAAAAATGAGAAAAAAAGTCAAAGGATGGGAGAATATGGCACAAAACTACTGGATAAAGAAAGCGAGCTGGGTGTGGTGGCACACTCAGGAGGCTGAGGCAGGAGGATCGTTGTGAGTTTGAGACCAGCCTGGGCTATAGAGTGAGCTCAAGTCCAGCCTGAACTGCATAGCAAGACCCTGTCTCAAAAGGACAAAATAAAAAAAAAAAAGCAAGCAAGCTTCTGCAGCTGCATTAATACAAGGGGAAAAAGACTTCCAGCTGACATGCAT